TTTTGACCTCGGCGACCTATCATGCCTCAAAGCTGGCGGGTCCGGCGATCTCCGCCCACCGATCATCTGATCACTCGCCGTAGTTCTATACGTGGCGAGTGATTAGATAGCTGAGAGAGCGTAGTGTTGAAGAGGGCACAGCGATGAGAGTCGCATCAATGCTCAAATCAACGGGCAAGGAAGGGGTCCATTTCTCGGGTTCTGGGCCGTTTCTCATGGTTCTTCCTTCTTTCGTGTACCACTCACCATCCCTAGGTTAATTTGAAATGGGTTGCTTTTTCATCGTGAATTCGTCCTTTAAGGGGTGAATCTTTTTGATGGACAAAATAAAGCTGATCACAAGGGTTGCAGATGCTCCGTTCTGCTGGCTCGAAAGTGTGCAGCAAGGGCGCTAGGGCCTTGCTAACTGAACGCTTGCACCGCTTTCATTCACCCGCAGCATACTTGTGTCTGCGCTCTCTTTTTCGCTGTGCTCACTCGATATTTTGAAAAGCTATGATATTTTTTGAAACGGCGTGGAGGATTTTCACACTCTAGGGATAGCTATAATTTAATAATTAGCACAAGCAGACTAAAATGCAGGCAAAGGCTAAGCTTGTAGCCACGACTGACCCTTGCCAGTACACTTTCTTATCCTAGGTGTGAATGACCTTTTCTTAACCGGTCTAGGTCGTTTTTTCTGGCTTTTTTCTTCATACCTGCATCGCTGACCACCTCCACCTTCATTTCTAGTTAGGTGTTTTTTCGTCGCAAACTCCAACTTCGATACAGATTGAGGATTTAAGCCTGGAGGAATTCCGAATTCAGGAAGAACTTCTCAAGTAGATTCCCATTCTCTTTGTCACGTCAATTCTCCTTCTTTTTTCCGTCCAGCATCTTTTATTCTGAACATTTCTTCTCATTAAATTTCTTTCTACTTAACGAGGACAGCTCTTTGTTTCGTGCAAAGCACTACTGCAGCGCTAGCACTTGAGGCTTTGTGCCGATTTCGAGAATCCCAAATGACAAACATGGGCAAGCGTCCTTCACTGGTGCCAACGGTGGACCTCCTTGGATACTTTCTTTTCGACAGTGTATTCTATCTGATGCATCTTCTGACTAAATGTCGCAAAATTAGCTCCCATTTTTTTAAAAATACCTTCAAACTATAACGCTTTAAGGGGGATGGGATACATCGGCTTAAATGGATTTGAGGTTTTAATGGATTGGGGTAATAGGGAAAAGTACAGAAGAGTACAAGCTGCGAGCCCGCGAATCACAAAAGCCTGCGGCTTCTGGTCCAAACTTTCCGAAGCGCTCAATTTTCTGCTCTCCATCACCTTAACAATGATCTGCCATTTCTCCGTTGAAAGATGGCCGCTGCCCCAATCGCCCCGCAGCAACTGCCAACGAAATCACTGTTTCAAAACGGCAAGGGAATTTTGCCTAAACAGGAGAATCAATCACCGGCGTATTTCCGTCTCTATCTCGTGCGCATCATAGTCAGGTGCGAATATTTCATTAGGCGCCAACTCTGGTGGATCCGACGCCACCGGGAGTGTCTCATATACGCTTCTCGACAGCATCGGATAGACTCTTTCGTTTCTGGAGAGCTCCGGGTTACCCAAAAAACGTAGGTCCCGCGCGCGACCATGAAAGCGGATGTCAGCGGACCAGTCGCCAGCCGTATCTTTGTAATTATTCCGACGTCAAATATTAAATAGAGTGTTCAATTGTAGCGTTCTATGCTGACTGTTGGCTTTCCCTGGCTGGTGCTTGATTAAATAATTCCTTGTGAAAAGAAGAGTTGTAGCGAAAAAATGGGTTTTGTGGACACATAACTTGTAACTGTAATTTGATTGGAAGACGTTTTCGATTATCAGGCAGAAAACATCGGAGGCTTGCGAAAGCTCCTGCAGCATGTTTTTGGCGTTATGTCGAAATAATTTCAAATTTATTAGCAATGTCGGGAAAGCTCATCATCTTGCACACCAATATGCCTCACGTTGTTTATAACAAAATAAATACCTTTCAAGTATTTTAAGAAGAGTGACCCTAAACTAGCAGGTTGCTGAGATACGCGATCATTGTTGGCAAGGCTTGTTATGCTAACAGAACACACATAAAATACTAGGTTCAGAGCGAGAGCGTAGAAAGGGAAGGTTCGCTGAGTAACTTTCTAGCAAGAGGAGTCAGAGAGGCCTGTGTAAATTTGATGTGGAGAGTTGCCGTAGCCAAGGCGAAAGGGCTAGACCGAATGATGTGACTGTTGCGAATCGTCGGTCGCATACGCGTACTTGCGTACAGGGGTATCGAAATTATTGAAATTGTATCGAAATTATCTTGGTAATAGTCGCTCTGTGAAAGTTCTGAATCGGCACAATGGACGGTTGACCATACCATTAACTCATTCTATCGCAGTGGTCTGGTATCGTTTTCAATCTCCTATATGTACAGTAGCTACTGCTTTCTACCTCCTCACTACTTCCATGTTCTGATTTCGTTTTGTTTTTCATTATAGCTTCAATAAGGTCGATTACGATCGATCAGCACGATTGTGGCTTAGGGTGTTCGTTGTAGGCAATTTCTCATTTCGGCGACAAAATTCAAACAGACATATTTCGCATGTTATGTTCCTCATTTCCTTGGCCAATTTAGGCAGAATGGACTACACCCATCCTCCGCCTATATGGATGGTGCACCGCACTTAGGCGTAAGAGAACTGATGGAAAGGCGTTTTGGGGACTAGTCCGAGTTGCCAATATGCGGTAAAAACATGATGCCGGAAAAGCGGTCGATTTCGATGTAAGTCGGAGGCCAGACGCGGAAGAATTGTAAGGTAATATCTCGATGTCGTCATAGCGTGATGGCACTATGTACAGCATCCATTATATCCTTCCCACCTCCGTCGAATCCGGCACGGCAAAGCAAAGGCATGCGAGCTTGTGAAGCTATCTATAACCCTTATTCTAAAGTGCATGGATACTTTGGAGCCAACCCTCTTGATCATGTTTACCTACTTTATTTTGGCATTTTATTTTTCAACTTAATCTGTCTTCAGAGATTATTTTATTTCTCTATAATCCTAATTCTATAGTTCTGTTATCTATTGTAGTCACCGCTGTATCTCTATTTCTACTATCCCACTATTTATTGTTTTGCTGCTGAAAATTCCCCTTCCTCCACCCGAAAAGTATACTTGATGATTACAATTACTGCAGTACAATGATATGGACGGAAGTGATGTAGTGACATGTGGCGCTGCTTACCACGCGAGCGGTCTAGGGATCAAATCCTGGCTCGTGCGTCGTCAAACCAAGCATTTCATCTACTCCAGGGCAACTAATTGGCACCAGACTTGTATGGGAGGATAAAAACACTGGCTTGTGCTTCGGCCGCCTTCCCAAGCCAAATCTGTACAGTCCAAATTCATTTACAATGCCACTACGATTCTGAATGGAGGTAGAATGCGTGGCGCATCCCACAAAGGTTGATCATGCCGAACGCTTTGTACCTTTATGCTTTAGTGATTTAACGAAAAAATAATATTTGCGTCGTATACGTGAATATCCCAGTGTTTCCTTTCGGCAACAGTGAAGTGTTGTAGTAGAAGCCTTACGAGAAATGTCAAAAAATCTCATGAAGAAGGGTCCCAAAAGTCTGCTGTATTTCTTGGGATGTGGAAAATTGGTTCACCTTCACCTTTCAGTAGCATTAGACCTTTGTTCTTAATTATTTACGCTCAAAGAAAAAAAACGTTACGCTCCCCTCCAGTTATTTTTGTCGTCGATAGTTTTTTTTTGCTATACAATGGCTATGAAGCTCCGTCATGAATAGACCTCTCAGAGCACGTCATTTAATGCCCATTTATCACCCACACCTACCGCAAACATCCCCTGAGCGGATGTGGTTCTCAAGAGAGCGTTGCGTGGCCGTAAATCAACCAGCTCCATAATCCAGCAAAAACCTTTCACCAATTAACCGAATGCGTGACCAAACTCTCGATTACTTTTGTTTTTTCTCTACCATCTGTCATATTCTTTTCTCTTTACAGTGGCCAAAGCGGCCGTGCTGTCATCGGCGATGCTAGCACGGAAGAACTCGTCCGGACGAGTGGGTGTGACTTCGTTTCCTGGACGAGAAAGCATCGCCGCCATATCGGACATGTTAACAACACAACAGAAGAAAGCCGTTAAACCCGGTGAGTTTTTCATGTCACAAATGATTTTCCATTCTGAAAAAAAATGAAGGCACAGCCTGGAAGAACGCATCGTCGCGCTCGCCCCGTCCGTCGCACATCCCAAATGACGACTGTAATCTTTTGTCGTTTAGAGGGGTTCTTGACTTATGATAATTGCTGATTGTTAATCAGTGATAGTAGTGATCAGCGGCAATTGATATAACACAACCACAATCGGCTGATCATTTAGCGGGAAGAAGGCTATCACATTTTGTGAAGGTTTTCGTCATTTGTGCGGTGAATTCTGCAATGGGCACGTATCTGCTACCGGATACGAAGAAACAACGTTTGTTGAGGTCGGATGTGTTCGATTAAGGCGCTAAAGCTTCAACTGTCTTCATAATTTAGGAAAAGCAGTCGATTGGATCAATGATTATGCTACATCTACTTTCACATTGGATGGAAGTGTGTAGTGGCAAGTGCAGATGCTCACCACGCGCCCGGGTGGAATCTCATTCCTGGTCATGCTTCGGTTCCGGGCCTAGACCAAAGCTTCCGCTTCTCTCCGGGTCGGCTGATTGGTAATCGGACTTGTCGGAGAGCGATAAACCAGCTGCCTTGTACATCATCATTGTCTCCATGAATCATGTATACAGACACATCGCCATCAAAAATAATAAATTCCGAATCGATAATTCAATAATAATTTCTCTACGAATTTACAAATGCTAGCAAAGAACTGTCGTTGCCGCATCCACACAAAGGCAATTGACAACTGAAAAAATGCTTTATCATTTTTTATTTCCATTTATATACAGTAAGAGTAAATATACATTTTTTTCAAGCTCTTCTGGTTTTCCAGCGGGATGCACATAAGTTTAAAGAAGATCAATTCCCCACTCGACAAGAATGACTTTTTTTTCAAGAAATCTACACGAAATTGGCAACTATAGTGCGCGGAGGTCAAGCTTGCTCTGTAAATTGTCTAAACAGTGTTTCCACGTAGCTGTTCCTTTTTGATATTATTGTAGACGCAGTTGACGCCCAACGCACATTGGCGCTATAAACACAGATCTGCGGCGAATTTTGATGGAGCGGCGAACTAAATAGGCTACTGTACGTGCGTGAGTTTCTGTTGAAATGTGAAAGCGAACCAAATTTACATTAGTCGGCTCGTCTTGCGCTCAATTTTTAGTAGCTGCGATGATGAGTATGAAAGGTGCTTCATCTCGGGAGACGCTTGGAAAAATATAAAACTGAAATGAACATCACGTGGTCTCGCAAATGTAGTACAAGCGCAGTAGGGCACTCAAGTGCCCGTGGAATTTCGAGAAAAAGTGCAAAGGATCCATTATTGCTGAGCAATTTTATCCCATTTTTGGTAGCCGACGACGCATTTCTGATGACTAGACGAAATTCAAAAGCTCTGTCGTACGTGGAAAGGGTTGTCCATTACTCCTCTATTGCACGTTATCATATCCACCGTCTATCATATTTCATCATAGGCTAGTTATCGTTAAGTCATCATAGGTCATTAGTACGAGCGAGGTTCTGTTACTGGTCCCCACTCAAACTATTCAAAAATGATATTTAGTTTTCACTTTTTGATTGATGTGGCTCCTTTTGGCGCAAAACTTAGGCAACCACACAATGTCAGAAATAATCCTCCTCGCGGTCTATTGTCGATGTCGATTGTTGTGTCTTCAAGAAGACGGACAGTAGAAGGAAGTCACTAGACTAAATTACAAAGAAATCTTAATTCATAGCCCGCCGATCCTGCCCAAAATCTAGCAAGGTCATGTAGGACACATACATCTACAAAAAGAAGTGGAATCACATAGTGTCCCAACATCGACTAGACGTCTCATCATGGTGGGGCGGCTTTTCGTAAGTGCATAAATAACCAACTAACTTTATTATAAAGCCCTCGTCTGTTCGTCTGTCGTTCTGTATGTCTGTCACGAAATTCCCTAGCTCCTCGGGATCCGCCTGGAGGGATCGGGTCAAGTGTGGGACGGGTGGGCAAGGTCTCAACGAAGTACAAAACACACATCAGCTAAGCGGAGCCCCGCCCACAGTGGGCGTCGGTGCGTCGACACAAGTGTACTGACGTCCGAAATTTTTCAATTCTTCCGAGAACGATTCCACTCGAAACTTGACACCTAAAAGTGCGGTAAAGGTGTGGCAAATCTGTGAAGTGACAATCTGAATTAACGGATACGCCACCATCCGGTGGACAGTCCATCGCGTTCTCCAAGGAAGCAGCTGCTTTATGTAAATTCCAGAAACATCGGTGGAGAAACCCTGCAACAAATTGGTGTAGAGGAGCAATGTCTAGGTGTTTCCTGCATACATGATGTGAGGGCGGAGGCCCGCCCAGAATGGGCGGGGCGCGCTCTGAAGTGTACAGCGTTTTCTACAAGTCCTCATAATTCGGGTCGGGGAAGCCTTAATGAGCCGGAAAAAGGTGGATAGAGGTGGGTGGAGGAGTGGAGGCTGTCATTGGTGGGCGGGGCATGACCAAAGTGGGCGGAGTTTGCGACGAAAATTCATAACTCGGCTCCAAGAAGTCCCGGAGGCCGGGAAAAGGTGGATGGAGGTGGGTGGAGGAGTGGAGGCCAGCTGTCATCGGTGGGCGGGGCTTGACCAAAGTGGGCGGAGTTTGCGACGAAAATTCATAACTCGGCTCCAAGAAGTCCCGGAGGCTGGGAAAAAGGTGGATAGAGGTGGGTGGAGGAGTGGAGGCCAGCTGTCATCGGTGGGCGGGGCTTGACCAAAGTGGGCTTTTGCCAAAAGGGTCGCAATTCGGTTCCAAGAAGTCCTAGAGATAGGGGAAAAAGGGGTAGAGGTCGGCGAAAGGAAGGGGGCCAAATGCTATTGGTGGGCGGGGCGCACCGAAGTAGGCGGAGTTTGCCACGAGATTTATTGTCCGGAAGCAGTCCGGAGACCGGGAAAAAGGATAATGGTTGACGAAGAAAAAGAGGTTGAAAGCCGTCGATGATGGAGCGGATAGAATTTAGCTGAGAATTCAGATATTCGTGGTGTATCAAGCCAAATTTGAAATTTTTTTCGTTCGCCGCACCATCAAAATTCGCCGCAGATCTGTGTTGTGCGCGCAATGCGTGCGACGCCGAACTGGTGGAATAACTGCGATAGAAATTGGGGGGGTTTGGATACAAAAACTTAGCGGAATAGACTGGTCTCCGATCGGGTTTGGTGTGAGAGTAAAGATGCCAAATAGGTGCGCCGTATGAAGAGAAAAAATACACAGCAAATTGGACACAGAACCCGGAAGAAGACGGCAGACATTACCTGCGCCATACCCGTTCACTGCCCGCCACCCTGCAGAGGAACTGAGCGGATTTTGAGTCGAGAAGTTGGGTCCGAGTAGACTGTGAGATTTTGCTAGACTGTGCCTCAGGGTAATTGACCACCGTGAGATACGACATATAATACCAGGTTCAGAGCGAAAACGCGTTGGCCGGCCCGGCCGCGCCCATTGGCGCCGCCGCTAATCTTTGCACGTGGCGCGTCGTAGCGCAGGCTATGAGTTCAGCTGAACGGAAAACTGTGTGAGTAATTCGATATTCCTGCCGGGGTCCAAGCAGATGACTCGTATGAGGACAACTTTCCATGCGAATATTGGGAGTCTAAACATGTTTCTGGGCGGCCTTTTGGCGCACACCGCGGCCGCTTGCGTGAAACGAGCGTCAGGCGGTTCTAAGGCGGCTGGAACAAAGTTAATATTGCGTGGTTCTAGCGGATCGGATTACGCCGCTAAGGCAAGTGTTCTGGCCCAAATTGCAACGAGATGCAACGTGACGAAATATTTTGTTTTTTGGTTTTTCTTTTGTTGTTTTATTCCTGTCGATAGGAAAAGTCCGGCTTCTAAGGTTCCGAGAGCTGGCAGTAAGAGGGTAGAGTGGGTGCCTCAAATAAATTAATTGCAGTGTTGATCCCTGGTGTTTCCTTTATATTCACGCGACTTTGAATGCCCAGTTCCGCAGTCACCCTAACTTTGAGATGAGGAAAAATGTTGGCGTTTCTGAGACCCGCCAATTGGCTCGTTTGGGAGTTTTTTATGTGATCGTAAAGGATAATAGTGAGCACAATTTAATAATTGTATGAGCTAGTAAGTACTTCTAAATGGCATGCGGTTTTGTAGTACTTTTAGTCGTTTAACCGTGCGCTTGAAAAAATACTTCGATATTATCTCCCTTTTCACAATATCTCTTCCTTCAGGCTATGTGGCAAGCGAACACCTGGAGTACGCTTTGAAGATCGCTTGCACGATCTCGTTGATCACCGTCTGTCTGCACACACCGAAGACGTTCGAGCAATTTTGGCCGCTTACGTACATTGTGCTCTGCCTGGATCTTGTCTCTGTGTTAATCCTCACATCAGAGGTGGCGCTCCGAATTCATCACGAGGGAATGAGCCTGGTAAGTGGGCCCGCAATGGCAACAGCGTCATGAAATCCACCCAGTAGTGCACGAAATGTAACACCATTTCAAGGATGGCATCAAATCCGCTGCAGAAAACGGCAAAAACAGCGCCACCTTGTGGCCCTCATGGTTCCAATTACGGCGTGCCAGCACTAACGACCAAACATTGATCCGCCCAAAATCGCTGCAAATACACAGAATTAACGCTTTTCCAGCGAGGGACCGCCGGGGAAAATTGACGCAACGGAAAGACGTTGAATGTGCCGTTCCTGATTGGATGCGTTTCGAAGAAGAGTTAGGATTTTGAAGAACCGCTGTTAAATGTCACAGTATTGGTTCAATCTAGGAAGGAATTTAGTCAAACTTTGGCTCTGCTTTATATGGATACCTTGATTGTAAATACGGGATTTTACCCCTAAATCCACCGCTTTAGCCTCCATAATATTTCTTTCCTACCAATTGGAACGAATTTGAGATTTCGTGCTGACAACGAGCGAGTGGGAGCTGCTCGGCATTTTAGTTGTCTACCCCTGTGCTTATGAACCCCACATTCCACCGAGCCAAATACGACTCCCGTGGAGAATTCGATCATTTTTCATCTTCTTCAGCACCTACGCTCCTGCCTTCACGAAATTGCGAGATTTCTTAGCACCGGATCCTTTTGTAATCACTTTGAGAACTCTTACTTGAGCACAAGAGCAACTACATACGTAAGTAGAAGTAGGAAGGGGGTATTTGCAAATCCCTTTCCAATGCGCAGGCAGATGTCGTAACCGCTACAGTGTGAATAGGATTGTATACACTAGAATCGTGTCGACTGTAAAGCTCACGGTGCCATATAAGAGGAGGGTTTCTCCTTTCCCTGATAAGCTTGTTCATGACTGATATTCGTATGGAGATGGGTTTGGGTCTCAGGACATCTGTCAACCGTGAGCCTTGGCGGTTCAGCGTTTTGTAGTGATGTCTGGGAGCTCTCACAAGTGCACACTATCACAGCATCTCCTCTTTCTTTATCTTCTTCAAAAGGCTTAGTCCCAATAAGACACAAAGTGTGTGCTTTTCCAGCTACGCTCTCACCCTTTGGTTGACAGAAGCCTTGTAACCATGGGTTTGCCATCATAGCCGTTGGAAGTAAACTTGCTTCCACGTAAGCGCAGAGCAAAACCTTTCATCTCCGTGTTATGATCTCTATAAATGTGAAGCTAATTCAATTGTGAACGTTTCAGAAAGACTCATCCTACATTCACAATAGATGGACACAATTTGATCTCTTCATGTTCGTCAGTCATTGGTTGTCGTGGCTGCTGCACTGCTATCAAATTCTTCGAGTTAATTTTGCCCTCTTCACGGCTCCATATGAAGTATGCTTAGTTTTCGGTCTTGTAGAACAGCATTTTGTACGTGAACCTTCAGGACTGGTTTGGTGTGATACGATCAGTGCGACCGTTCATAATCATTCGGTTAATACGGCTCGTGATAAAATTCAAACTACCAAAGGCCAGAATCGAACAGTTGCTCAAGTGAGTGGGCTTGTTACCTTTGTTTTTTTTGGATTTTTTTCAAAGCATTTTTGGGTTATTTCGTATAGTTATTCAGGTGGTATTGGTCCCTTACCATCAGAAATTGCTGAAGGCTATTCACACAATCGCGTGTATTAGTGATTACAAGGCACAATCCGCTAGATGTGATTATTGAAAGCAGAGTGGTGAAATAAACCACCAGAAGAAGAGGAAGAAAAAGGACGAAAAACACAGAACAAGGGCCTTCTTTCTGAAGGACACAGGAGACTAAGTAAGGGGTGCTGGATGCCGTGGATGAAAGGAACAGAGAGGTTGGAGGAAGCGAGACGCACCACTTCACTACATACTGTGTACTCGTCATATCCCACGCAACAATGCAGTTCAGCGGTGAAGCTGCAGCGCCCGTGTCACCACTTCAAGGAAGCGAAAACAGCACATTGCTAAATCTGTGAATTGATCTGTCCCAGGGAAGAGATTGATCTTCCTCGATTCATTGTTGAATGTCACTTTAAGACAGCAGAGAGTGAATACTACCATAGGGGGCTGCAGATTTGATTAGTGATCAGGCGCACGACCATCTCCTCACGCTCACTTGTGCTCATCTCATCTCCTACTGCGGAAACATCTTCGTTCTTAGTTGCCTGGGAAGATATGAGAGTTAAGGGTAAAAGATGAAGCGCAACAACTCGATCAGATCGCTCTGAATCCTTCCTGACGCACTGCACGATGTTGGAAAGCTGCCATTACTGCGGTCAATATGGAAGTCATGATAACGCTGTCGTTCCTCAGTCTTTGTTTGAATGAATGAAAAAGGGCTTATTCAGAAGGGGGTGATTGCTAGCAAATCCCGATTTTTCAGGAGGTCAAGTCAGCAAGTACAGAATGTGACTGTGTTCTTTGTGTTCTTCATGGCCCTATACGCCATCGTCGGCATTCAACTATTTGGCAGGATGGATTACCACTGCGTACTTCCAAGTGAGCTCTATTATTTGTGTAAAATTGCTAGTGGTGAGCAGTTCCTTCTCACAGTACGTTGCTGCCTATAGGTTGCAGCATAGTTATAAATATAGTTATAAGTATGATTGTGCTAAATCCAAATTAAAGGACGAATTCACGATTAGAATGAAGGTCGAAGAAGGAGTAATTCACCTAGTTGAGGGACCCGCGGACCTCCTAAGGGTGCGGACTGAAGCGCAATTGGCACCGAAGGAATTGATCTCGGCGACTTATTATGGCTCAATCTTGGCGCTGTAGGTCAGTGCACGCCCACCAATCATCTGATCCCCCGCCGCAGG